TGCCATGAGCCCTTTTCCTGTGCAGTTGCTGCTGTCTGTATCATTGCTCTGAAAGCATGGCCTGGACAGTTAGATGTATACAAAGAGCTGCAAATAGAAAGAAAGAGCTCACATCCCCAGAAATGCATCTGAGAAGAGAATTTACTGTGGTCAAAGGGTGTGCCAAGCCTCAAAAGCATTGCTTCTTCTTTGGGGAGGCATTCCTGTCACAAAGCAGAGTTTGGCTTTTTGGTCTTGCACAGCATTTGAAGATATTTTGTGCTTCCTCCTATCAGAAAATGTCTCAGGGTAAAGATTTTCTCGTGTCCTGTGTTTGGTAGTGCATGGTGTGAAAGGATTGTGATGGAAGGCAGACTTAATTGAGTTGGGATTGTATGAAAGGAGGAGGATGAACAAGTAGCAAACATCAAAGAAAGCCCCTACAGTGTCAGAGTACAAAGTTACCCAGTAGAGCCCTTGTGAAAAGGCTCAAAATGTTCATTAAACACAAAAACTACAAGAGCCATTCTTTTTCTTCCAGCCTTTTAATGTGACAGAGAGAACAAAAACAAATCCATTGGAACAGCTGCAATTTCCAGTGAGGACCAGACACAGATCAAATAAAAAAATAAAAGAAGGTTTAAAATGAAGAAAAGGAACCAAGGGACTGGAATTGGCTATTTCACACACAGAGTTGACAGAACATCTAAATGAAACTTTCCATTAAAGCACGACACCAGGTGTTATTTACAGTGGAACTTGCAGTGAGTGTACATTTATACAGCACTAGCATCACATACAGCAAAGAAATTAATTTCATTTTGTTTCCTTCACAGTTCCCAGGCTTGATTCTTCCTAAAAGCAGCATTTGCTAATATAAGGGTGAGAAACTGAGGGAGAAACTTAATGCAAAATAAAATACATAGGGCTCAAATCTAAAAATAGACCTAAAAATATCCTCTCAGGTTTTGTGACTCCTTTGGAAAGTCAAAGGACATGAGCAGGGAATATAAAAGGACTCCTTAAGTGCATCAGAGAATACTCTGCTGTTGGAGGTCTCAAAGCAGGACCTGGAATCTGCAGAAAGCTCAGCTCCATGCAGTCCTGCTCTGTGCCCCTGTGTGAAGGCAGCCTTGGGGCTGGACCACTCCCAGGGTTGGGGAGCATCCCTCAGTGCCTCTCCAGCATCACTGAAGGATGATCAGGATGCCTGAGCCCTTTCCAGTGTGCAGAACCTCTGCCACTGGATGTGGGTTTTCCAAGACTGACCCTCCTCATAGTCCAAAAGATCCCATACACCACCATTTGTGAGTCCCACAGCATTTCAAGGAATTTCAAAGAGTGATGTTGATATGGGCAAGGAGGGGCTCACCCCACCCAGCACAAGCTGCAGCCACCACCTCTGGGATGTAGCAGAGCCAAAGGCAGCAACAGGAGCTGTCCTGCACAGCTGGAGTAAATAAATCACAATACCACAACCTGCTAAATCAACAGGGAACACAAGGAGGCAGAACTCTTATTGTAACACCACTGGTCTTTAATAATAATATCAACAGTGCTTGGTGTTCCTATGAAAGCAGTGTCTGCATGCTCAGAAATTCAGCAGTGGATCTCTCCCAGCTGAAATCACAAAGCCACAGCAGGCCAGTTTGGGTTCCCTAAATTCACCTTCCCCACGCCACAGTGTCCCTGGCTAAGTGGCTGTCCTGCTGTGCCACACTGCATGAGGAGGTCCAGCTGTCCTCTAGAGGAGATCTTTGGGATTTAAGGCAAGCCCCCTGCCTTGGTCCTTGCTCTGTGTCCCTGCTGCAGTGAAGTTCACAAATCCATGGGGATGGTGCTGTGCAGAGGCCATCAGGGGAGCTGTGCTCAGCAGGTTTCTCTGTGGATAGCCCAGTGTATCCCAGACAGAGACAGTCCCTGTGGCGGATGTCGGCAGGGGAACTGAGGGAGGAGATGTGCTGGCCCTTGAACAGCAGGAACAATGCTGATTTTACAGCAGAAATTAAGCTGAGCCATCAGAGGAGGTGCCTGAGGAGAAATCTTCCCTTGCTTGAGGCTCAAGGATCCATGACTGAGGCTAAGCCTTGCAGGTGGCCAAGGCTTGAAACTGAGCCCAAAACAAACCCCAGCCAGTGCAGAGGAGGCTGCACCCAGCTGCTGTTCTGCCCTGGAGAGCAGCAGTGTGACACCCACACTGATTTACACCACGGCAAAGACTGCAAATACACACATTGGGAATATTGCCTGAGCCTGTCCCCACTGAACTGGGTGGGAGATGCCAGCCCAGGTGTCACAAACGCAATGCCTGAGCTGCAGCTGCTGCCCTAGATCTGTCTGTCCCTGAAGGAGCAGGACTGTCCTGGACAAGCCATCCCCAGGGTCCCACACATTCCCTCTGCCTTTCAGCTGAGAACCATGGCAATCCATTCAGTCCAACCCTGTGTGTCTGAGCTGGGTGATGGGAGCTCTCCTCAGCTTTTCCTTTCTTCCTTCTCTGCTCACTGTTGTCCTTTATCTCGGGACAACAATCCTTTATCTCTGTGTGTTTGCTCTCTCCTGTTGGTCACAAACTCCCTGCTCAAGCCAGGGGTAGGAGCCTTGTCCCAACACATCCAATATCCCTTAGCCCTTAAGTGACTGACCCATGGATTTTAGGGTACAAAGAATTTCCAGGTGACACTGACAATGAGATCCCATTACCCTTTACCTCGTCCCAGCTGGTCTGTGGGGGGTAAGGTTTAGCAGCCTGTGAAAGAGCCATTTTGTAAGGAAGGAGGGTTTCTAATATTGGATAATATTTCCTAATATTACCTTGCCATTTCTATCTCCTCATGATTTCAATTTCTTCCTTCTCTGGAAATTAACAGGGAAGTTTTGCAAAATAAATGATGTCATTAATGCCACTGCAAAATGTCAAGGAGAACACAAACAGGTTTGCTGTGAGCTTTGGGTGACATGTAAATAGGAATGTTATGCAAAATACATATTTAGACAAATAGGTTCTAGTTCCTCAGAGCTACACAAATGAATAATCCAGAAAATGAAACAAAATTTCTCCCCCTCTGTCCAGTTGTAATGTGGCAATTGGCAAGCACAGCCCAACAAAATGGATGAAGCCTAAAGGTCATGGTGACCTTTTGTGTTAAAATACATATTTAAACTGTTTCTCATCATGCAAAAGGACCAGATATTCTCAGAGAAAAACCTCACATTCTGGGCTGTGATTCTGAACAGAAGCTGTGAACTGCTGTCGAAGGACATAATTACATTCACTCCCACCTTAGAGAAGGAACCTTGCTGTTTTGAAGACAAATAAAATAAATAATAATAAAAGAAGCCTAAGCTACCCATAAAATGAAGAAATGATGCATAATAAGCTCAGTTATTATAGCAGCTTGTGATTTCATCAATTCCATAAACCTCAGAATAAAGGTCAGAACTCTCAAAAACAGCCCATTGTAGCCTAGCTGATCCACGAGTGTTTATCCCTGATTGACACAATGATAAAAGTGATGCTCATTAGAGGCTTTTGCCTCATTGGCAGGGATTTGCTGCTTGTGATCTGACCCTGCTGTGTCCTTCAGCAGCGCCACGCTGAGTCCCACAGCTGCAGCCTGGGCTAAGTGCAAGGGGCTGTGCCTGTGCAGCCAAAGGCAGGGCTGTGAGACATCACTCCTGCAGGATCTCAGCCTAGCCTTGCTTGGTTTTCTTTAAAAAAAAAAAAAAAATCGCCAAAAAAATGAAAACAAACAAAAACCGACAAAGATCCAACAAAAGGTAAATGAGAAGATCACCAGAAAAAGTACAAAATAAATTTTTTGTGTCACGGAATATCCTGGTTTGACAAATTAGCTGCACTATGTGGTGGTTTCAGATCAATTCTGGTCTGTTGCTGAGCTTGTTGCAAGGGTATAATTAGTGTTATCTCATCCATTGTGAGCACTGGTGTGTTATTGAGCAGGGTGCTTTTCCTTCTGGTTTCCCAGGGAAACACACCCCAAAATACACAACTCACTTTGCCTCTAGGTGCAACAGGACTTAACTGGTATGATAAAAAGGGCACACAAATTTCAGAAATGTTCTCCACAGGATATCAAGCTAAACTGTGCCACTTAATGGGGAATTTAATGTTCTGTACAGTGAAAGCTTGCTGTGTGCATTCCCTGTGTAACAAGTTAAATGGCTTTAAGTAACTGTGCTTATAGTGTTTCAATGAGACCCAAGTATATTAGAAAATCAAGCATCATATTCTTCAAATAATATGGCTAAAATGCTGGTAAATTCACAGTTACCATTCTCTAGGTATTAGGCAAAAATCCCCTATTTACACTGGATAATATGTACACATTTGGTTTGTGGAATGCTCCAATATCATATCAATTTCTCCTCTGTGAAAGCTGTAAGGAAAAAACCCTCTTAATCATTATAGAAATATATATTCCCAGTCACTAAGACATTTAAATATTTGGTATCTTGATGTAAAGAGCAAAGTGTCACTGAGTTGATCATGACTCCTCCTTGAATTACTGGGATTTGGTTTTGGTGCCACTCTTAAAATCCTCTAAAGGGTGCAGAAATTAGAAATCCTAAATTTTAATAGCTGACCACTTCAATGGGTGTATGTAAGTTTGCAAGTAGGTGTAAATACACACATATATGTATATATATATAATTGTTTATATATTTCTCTTCCACAGCAAGAAAGTGTCTAGTAATTCCCTGTGCCCAAGTGGAGACAGTAAACGGCTTTGAAGCTCTGAGTCTTCTGAGACAGCTGAGCACCCACCCTCACATCCTTGAGAAATCAGAACTCTCACTCTTCCAGGGTGGAGTGGTAATCCCAAAATCAAGACAGCTGGGGCCAGTGGCCACATCTGCCACTGTTAGCCCTATGGCTGGAGCTCACCTGGAGCAGGTGTGTTACCTGCCCTCCCTGGATGCTCTGTGTGCCTGAGCACAGCCGGATGGCTGGGCAGGGCAGGGTCTCCAGCTGGGCAGGGCAGGAGGGTCGGGTCTGTCCTCCTGTCTGTCCTCCACGCGGGCACGGAGCTGCTGTCTGCCTCTGGTGTCCTTGCAGGGGGATGGACAGGGACAGGGGGGGCTCCCAAGCTCTGCAAGGGGTGTGTGGGGGCTGCATGCACCAGTCGTGGCTGTAATAAGGTCAGGAACGATGGTTTTGTTTAAATCCCTGCGGGTTGTTCTTGGTTCTTCTTCCCCTCCTCCGTCTCGCTTTGAGGTGCCGACAGAACAGCACAGAATGAACGTTTTGGGTTTTCCAGACATGGCTCTTTTTTGTTCTTCTCCTACATCTGCCCCCACCCCCCGCAAGCCCCCACGGCCTCTGCTGCTCACATCAGGACCTGTTCTCGAGTCTCTGGCAGGCGCAGAGCCAGCAGGCCACCCCCAACCAGGGCGGAGGAGGCCAGGAGGATGGGAACCACCTTGGTTATCCCTACGAAGGAGGAGAAGATGGAGTTCCCCAGGATGGCACCAAACTTGCAAAGCCCGTTGAGGATGCCAAAGGCTGTTGCCCTGTGGGGAGGAAAAGCAGAAAGCAATGGTTGGGAGGCAGGTTCTGGCACAGCTACAGAAGGTTTGGATGGGTTATTTTGTGAATGCTCTTATGCTTCCCAGGCTATGCTTCTAGCAAGTAAAACTGGGTGGAATAAATAAGTAGATAAATAGATGCAGCTGTTTTGTGTGTCTGTGTGAATGAGGAGAATGTCTGTGTGCACTCATTTCTCGTTTTCATCTCACCTTCTCCCTAGCTCTAGGATGGCCCACTCTGTCAGCCTTTGCCCTCTCCAAAGACAGGAGGACAAAATCTGCTCTAGATCTCCTCAAAGCCCTTCCAAGGGCTGCCTGGACTGGATTGTCACCAGAGACCATAGCTTTCCTCTAAATTCTGTTTCACGCAGCAGCTAAAAGTCCACTACTTTTAATGTACAGTCCCTCTCCTTCATTTCTGGCTTGCCCCAAGAGTCTGAAAAAGGCAAAAAGGGGCTTATAATAATGTGAGGAAAGATTTAATCCAGAGGACATTGTCCCAAAGTCTCCTGCTCTTCCCCATGTCCCAAATCACTCTGTGTACATGGTTTTCTCCAGGTTTTGGATGGGAGGGCTGCCCCAGTAATGAGGCATGATGAGAGGATGGAGATGCAGTGTGAAAGGCCAGACCTCCATGCACATCCATGCAAATGACAGAGTACTTCTTTCATTTTAGAACTCGTTGATCTTTAAGGTCCCATCCCACCCAAACCATTCTGTGATATCATGGTTCTCTGATTCTTCGATTCATCAGCCCATAATTTCCATATGTCCACGTGGTCCCTGTGTTCAACCTGCCATACATGCAGAACTATGCTTGCAAATGTCTGTTCTGACCCAAGATTACACAGCCCTGACGGGCTGGTGAAAGTAAAATAAATAAAAATACACAGCTTTTTTTGCTGGGAACCAAGAGGACTAGGCAGAGGGTGGGGATTGAGGGAGAAATCTGAGCACCTTTTGTCGGTGGGGTAGAGCTCCACGGTGATGACATCCAGGGCGTTCCAGGCGGCGATGCTGGCCCCGCAGAAGAGGCACTGCCAGCCGATCATCGCCGACTCGCTGTTCCCGAAGAACAGGAAGAAGCAGCACACGGCTGAGATAAGCATCGAGCCGCCTGCAGGGGGAAACCAACAGGAAAACACTGGCACAGCTTCTTGCCTGGTTGTGCTCTTCCCCTGACTCTTGTCGCCCTGATTTTTCAAGATTTTCTAAGCCTTCTGACGTTCGCATCCTTGTAGCAAACTTTATTGCACACTTTCTGTAAATCGCTTATTGTTCTGCATTCTTTTATTCTCTTCAAATTTGATAGACTGTTGGTTTGTCCAGTGTCATTGGAGAGGTGTCACTGTCACTATTTTTTAAGATTTTCTAAGCCTTCTGATGTTTGCTTTTCCTTGAAAGTTTCCTGTAGCAAACTTTCTCACACGCTTTCTGCAAATAGCTTATCGTTTTGCGTTCTTTTATAGAAAAAGAGAAATTTGATAGACTTGGTTTGTCCAGTGTCATTGGAGAGGTGGCATTTTCACCCTCCAATCCACTGTCACTTTTAGAAAACTATGAATGTTAAAGTCAGAAAATAAGCTTCCCTTTCCTTCACCTTGAGAGCAGCAGTGTGCGCGCTCGTGTTGTTTTGTGTCCTATAGCGACAACAGTTGAGCAAATACATCTGTTAAAGATGGCTTTCAAGTGATGGCATTTCATCCCAGTAAGTATTAAATCTCTGAGCACCCAAAAACACCTTGATGCTGCCTATCTGTCATTCTCTGATGCTGGAAACCAGCCTAGAAATGTTCTCAAAGTCCACCTGATCTTGCTGATAGTCCTGCTCTACAAAGACTGGGAAGACAGGCAATTCCAGGCAGGTTTCCAGCATCTCGGACTTCCAGATGGACCCAGGAAGAGCCGAGGCAAGTAAACATGAAAGTCAATGAGGAGGAAGCATCATTGTGAAGGTTTTTCAACTTGAGTTTCTAGGGATAAGCTTGTGCGTTTCATATCGTATCACTTGACACATTTCTAGTCCCAATTAGGATAATTTACAGTCACTTGTATGAAGCACTTGAGGTCTCTTTTAATTATAAGAACATCATTAGATTTCATGGCACATTTGCACAGGAACCATAATTTTATGAACATCACCGAGGGAGAAAGTGAGAGCATTCATGCTCAGTTAGGCACAGTTCAGATTCAGAAATATTAATAGCTACATCACTGCTTTCTACCCCATTGAGAATTTTCAACAGAAAGATAAAATTTGGGAAAAATCAAACTATTTTTCACCAGAATGTTCTGTTATCACTGAAATATCTCCATTTATTACCAGGAAAGCAAACAATTTTCTCTGTTTGGTGGTTTTGGAGTCAATTTAGCACATCATCCAAAATAATTTGGATGCTGAAGTGTAACTAAAATGCTTCAATTTGGACATTATATTGCATCTCCCCACTGCAGTGGCCTGCCTATGAAAAGCTGCTGTGCAGGACTCCTTGTCCCCTTCTCCTCCATGGTACAAGGCCAGACCACATCCCCACAGTGTGCTGTGGAAATTCCCCGTGCTGCAAAAGCCCAGCCCAGCACTGGTCAAGGCACTAAAAGATCTGCTGTTTTGCACAAGATAAAGTTTGGCAGAAAGTGATAAAAATGAATTGAAGCCCCAGCAAGGCACATAACACAAAGGAGAAATTCAGTTTTCCTGTTAAGCTGACCAGAAATGATATGTTCCACAGAGTGATACAGGTGGGATGCCAGAAGGCTCTTTCAATTGGAAATTCCATAGTGAAGCGTTTCAGCATGTCATTACTAATTTTTGTCCCGTTCTCATCTTTTTGCAGGAGAAATAAGCATTTAGGGCTCCAGCTGTCATCTCAATTCCAGATGAAAATGCTGAAACGCTGACATGTTTGCAGGATGGACAATCTGATTCTCATTCAGCTTCCTCTAATTTATTTCTCACAGACCCTCTGGTTTGTTTGGGTCTTTTTCAAGTTCACCACATGAATGCTCATTTTCCCTCAGTGTAAATTCCTGAGACAGTAATCTTGCTCTACTTTAACCTGTCTGAAGGTGAGGCTGGGCTAAATCTTCCCTCTGTTCTCAGAGGAGAGAGAGGAGCTCAAGAGAGTGATTCATCCCTTACCCCAGAGCCACATCCCTGATTTTATTACCTTCCTTTGGCTGTCCCTCAGGGCATGATTCCCATATCATGGGATGAGAGCAAGGTCTGAACCCTGGAGGCTGCAACACCAGCAATTCCCAAAGTATTCATAAAGCTGATGAGGTGATAACTTGACAATTTATTCCCAGGATGCTAAAGTGGGCTCCTTTCATGGCTGTGACATGGTCAGTTAATTTACCATATGGTCTCTGAAGCTGCTTGTGCAATCATGTGAAAATCAGATAAAGAACCAAAAGAGGGAACTCCTAGGCTGTCAAGTTGCCACATCAAATAACCATTGTGAATATTCATTGCTACAAGCAAAGTGTTCATTTATTTATACAGAGGCTTTGGACTTCAGCAGCAACCCAATCCTTTTTTAGCTCTAACCCTGATTTGCTGAACACTGCAAAAACATGCCGGATTTGACACAAAAGGCAAAATAAATTAAAAAAAAAAAAGTTACAGACAGACACACAGAAAAGCAGGGTGAGGAGGTGGAGAGTAGGTCACTTACTGCCATGGATCACCTGCCTGACCCTCTAGTCTTTATCCTTCTGCTCCTTTTGTTTTGGGGATGACAAATTCACACGGAGCAGGGCTGTTTGCAGGGCTGAGCTCCACCCTGTCCTGCCCCATCACCACCACCATCCCCACTTACCAATCATCTTTATCCTCCCGATTTTGTCCATGAGCAGAGCAGAGATGATGTTGCCTGGCAGCACGGACAGGCTGCCCAGGAAGCTGACCAGGTAGATGAGGAAATCATTGTCCTCCTCAAAGTCGATGTGGCAGCCTTCCTTCTCCTTCATGAACGTGCTGTTGATGAGCCTGCAGTTGATGAATTTGTGTTCGTAGAGATCTGGGAGGGAAAGAGGCAAAAGCTTGACCCTGCTTGGCTGAACTCTCCTCGTACAACAGCAAACACCAAACCAAAGACCCAAGAGAAGCTTCTCATCCATTGGAAATGGCCAGGGAGTATTTATTTCAGTGGAAATTTATTAGAGTGGCAAACTCCAGCTGAGCCTTTGGCTCCTGGCAGATGCAAACTCATACACTCCTTTTATTTGTGGAGTACACTCAGTATACTGAACTGTATCCCCATGCCACAAGGACAGGGCAATGCAGGCTTTGGTTCTCATAGCATTATCATTTGTTCTTTATTAGAGTAGAAGTTAAGAGCTTTTTGGTATAAATTAGTGACTTCTTAAAGTGAATTTTATTAGTGACTTTTGATACAAATTAGTGACTTACTTTACTGATAATGATCTTCAACGGCTGGCGGCTTGAAATGATATTCTAAGCCAGTTTTACTGAGTAGAGCTGTAAATTGCTTAGAATTTTGCCATTACTTTAACCTGCCTGAGCACAGAATTTGGCATTTCCCATGCAGCACCCAAAGACACCAGAAGCCATGGGGTAAAAATCACTGATGGAGCCACCTGAGGTCTCCTTCCAAACGCATCACACTCTTCTCCTCCAGCATCACTCTCGTTACCCAGCACACGCTCAAACACACAGATCCCCACCATCCTTTCTCCCAGAAAGCAGATAAAATAGTTCTAATAAAATAGTTTTCTGATAAAAAAATGTTCCCAGTTTCAGAGATGACACTGCAGCAGGAATCCCATTACCGGTGTTATAAAAGACAGTAGAGATGATGGTGCAGTTTTCAAAGAAGGTCTCAGTGGATCTCACATCTTCGAAGTAGCAATCCTCAAATAATGAATCCTCAAATCTCACCTCCTTGAATTTCATGCCAATAAATCTGTGGGGCAGGAAACAGAACTTCACTCTGTGCTATAAGATATTTTCTACACTGTATAGAGTGCAGTGGCTGTTTCAAGAGACAGAGCACTAATTCTAATTTCTAGTGTCATTTACAGAAAAGGTGTTGCTTCTGTGTTTTATTAGGAGGAAAGGGTCTAAAGAGTATTTTTTTCAAAGATACATGGATATTTTGGGATTTGTGCAGTTTTTCTTTTCCTCAAAATAATCACATCTGAGAAAATGTGCTTCTAAAGCTGAGGGGACACAAATCCTCTTGTGTTCAGTCGTAATCTGTCTGAAGATGACAGAATTTCACTCAATGCAGGGCATTTCCTTCATGAGCTGACCTTGCTGCCTTCCTTAGTCTCCCCCTTCCTCCATCATAAATAAAACCAGACATTATCAGGAGCCTATTGAGCCATTTGGTGAAAGGTTTCTGACAGTTGTTTAAACTCAAAGTGATTTTTTAAGTGAAAATGCAGCAGGGATTCTGGAGAGAGTGGGGAGATAATCTGAGTTCTGCTTGTAACCATCGCTGTTTGAGGTTTATTACTTACCATGTAACGAAAACAGATTTCACTAAAAATAATAAACTGTGTCAGGTGATTGATTTCTCCTCTGATGGGAAGTGTGACATGTCTGACCTGGCTGCCTGAAGGATGACACAATATTGATTTACCTGTGAGGTTTTGCAGGAACACTGAGAAGATGTATTAGGTAATGCACAGACATGTTTAGGAGATGTAAGGAGCTATTAAGAACAAGCATTACTGCTCCAGTTAAAGAGGCCATGACTGTCACCAGGTGAAATAAAGCCTCCTAACATATACTCTGCAGCTTAATTGAATCGAGCACTTTTAACACAGCATAACGTGATGGTTGTTTACACCTTTAAATGAGCACTGCAGGGCTTCTTGACTGAGCCTACTAACAGAAATTATTAATGCACAAATACCACGAGAAGATTATTCAAGTGTTTTGCTCCATGTAGAGGGTCTCACAGGTTACAGCAAAACTTAAGCTGTTCTGCATTTTCTCAGTGATATATTTACTCCTTGTAATGTATTTACTCCTAAAGGCTGTTAAAAAACATTTTCCCTCCTGCAGTTTGCTTTCTTAACACCCAACTTTAGAAGACTCAGAGAGCAATGGCCTGATCATCCATGGAGTTTTAGCTAACAGCAAACACAGCTGTAAACCATTCTGAGATAATTTCTGGGCATTACTGCAACATAGCTTGATGAGGTTTTGAGTATTTGAAATGGAGAGGGCCAAGGTGGGAGAATAGTGATTTACATCAGTTTTATGTCTTCAACCAGCCAGTGTTGAGTATCCTTAATTCTCAGTGAGGTTAGTGAAAATTCAGCACCTCCTGTAGGCATAAGAAAAATGTCCCCAATCTCTAAATTTGACCAACATCCACTTCTAAACACTTTCTTTTGTGGGACAGGAATTGTAAGGCTAGGTTTGCATCATCAAGCTCAGCTCCTTGCTGCAGGGAAGGTGTATGGAAGGACATGAGGTCACATATTGGGGTCCCCCACCAATGTATATCAAATATATAACAAGGAAATTATTTCTGAGGAGATTGGAACAAGCTGGCTGGGCAATGGGATGTGGTTTCAGCTGTGAAGATTAAAACAATGAGTGTTTTGTGTAACATTGAATATAGGGAGGAGCTGCCTCCAGCAAGGCAGCTGGAGCAGCATCCTGTTAGGTCTACCTGGGGTAATGAGATCACAGAAATTACAGAGGGATATTTTTCCTTTTTATTGGGATTTCCTTTTTATTGGGATTTTATTGGGATTTTGAATGGTAGTAATGGAATGACCAGGATTTACTCTGCTGTGGAACATCGTGTGATTGGGGTCCAGGCTGGATGCAGAAGGAAAAACAAGGCCAGCCCAAATAGGAGGCAAAAGGGAAGGAAAGCAATGATGTTCTGCCGGAGCAAATGCACTGACTTCAAAGCACTAAAAGAGAAGGTGATTCATTCATTTTTGGGGAGACAGTGACTGCAGTGGGAGAAGCACCCCATTATGGCCATAGCCCAGCTTGCACTAGTGGGCAGCAGGATGGAGACTGGGGTAATTCATATAGAAGACTTCAAGAAGAAATAGCTTTTTATTTTGGCAATCTAGCAGCAATTTCATTACCAGTGGCTGCCCAAGCCCAGTAGATGTCAGTGTGGGCTAAGGAAAAAGAAGTCACCTCTGCATGCAGGGCTGCCCAGCATGGCCAGGGGGACACTTGCTGCCCTGATCCCAACTCAGGGCTGCTGGAAGCAGAACTCCTCCCTGGCATCCCCTGGGTTCTGCAGAAGTCAGTGACAGAGGCAAAGTAGGTGGGAAAAAAGGATTAAAAAATTCTTTGTCTGTCAAAACCTGCTCTGGGACTTGAGAGATTTAGATTGAGTGTCCAAAAGAACAACAGAGAAGTTCATGATGATGGAAAATGGAAAAGAAAGAAAGAGCTTTCTAGAAAATTATTTCAGTTTGAATGCATCAAAGCAAATTCTTTTCACTTACTTGTCGTTCCTGTATTCCCCATTTCTATGGATCTGGTTTTCCAGGGTGAAATTGAAGGTGAAATGGGACACTTCTTCCTCATCAAAGATCTTCACCCGGGAATCATATGCCTCGTCTTGGAAATAGCGGATCATGTCAGGGAACCAGACAATAAGGCCATAGTAACTGCAGCAGGATTGGGAGACACATCAGGACACAAGATTCTTCCAAAGACCCACTTCACAGCTTGTAAACTTGTTAAACTCCAAATAAGAATGCACGTCTGACACAAATCCTTGCTCAGGTCTGACACAGGACTGAGCAAAGTGTTTCTACGCTCTAAGCACCCTGCTGATCTCAGAAATAAATTGGTCCATTCTCCTTCACTTGAAGCAGGACAATTCATTTCAGCTCCCCTTGGCTGGGGAATACAGAAATGTGCTAACCTTGATACCCATTAAAATAGCAGAGAATAAACAAAATGGGCTGATTTCTCTAAGTGTGCAATTCAAGTGAGAGTTAGGTAAAATTTACCTGTAGTTTAGATTTAAAACTCCCCTGAGTGGTTTTGATCTAGACTAAGGAACAGCTGAGAGTCTGGTAGGGTTGTGTCTTTTTTTTGTGTGTGTGGACAAGATCAAATGAAAGATCTAAAGGTGAGAAAGTCAATCTATTGCTGTGCTACCAACCACTTCTCAAGTCCTGATTCGTTCAAAGCACCTTGTACTTCATATAAAGCAGTCAGATTGATCAATATTTGTAGGAGAGCAAGGCTTAGTTCACAAAGGCTCTTTAAAATAAGACCAGGATTAATTTTGTAATAGTTTATTTACACGTGTAAATAAATATTCAGACTCTGAATAGTGCTTTAGCTTCCTGAAAAATATAAAGAAGTATCTTCCTTACCTTAAGGCCATTGTAAACCAAACCACAGCCAGCATCAGTGTGTTCATCCTGTACTGGGCTGTTAAACAATATAGCACATTGTCCCAGACCTACAAATTCACAAGAAGGAATTAGCTGCCAGGACACCCCAGCAGACACTTGACAGCTTAATTTCTGAGTGCATCATAAACCTAATGTCAGAAAAATGGGTTCATTGGAGGGAGGTCAGATGTATGGCTTATATTCAGTGTTTTTTCAAAATTATATTTATCAAGTAAATGGCTTACAAAAAATCACTTATTCAGCTCAGTGCTAGAGTACTTGATCTGAGCCCTCTGTAATGAGCTAGAGTGCATGATCAGGGCTGGGTATGAGGCAGCGTCTCTCTCAGGTTATACCAGCAAATGTGGATATGAGATTGTTCTCAGACCCTCTGACAACCTTATCTTTTCAAATATATGTATAGTGTCAGGAGTGCTTTCAAACTGAGATAAAAAGCTCTCTGAAGAGCAAAAGTCCAAACACAGCTGGTACTTTAGGAGGTATGAGATGAAATCAGGTAGGGATGAAGCCAAGCAGGAGGCAAACCAAATTCTGCTCTTGACTCATTGCAGAAAATGCTGCCAAGAACATGAGGGGATGCAACTCCTCAAGGTCTTATCTTGACACATAAGTATAGTAATAGTATAGCATCTGCATTGCTATTAAGAAGGGCTTTCTTTATTTTCAGCTCATCCTTCAAGACTAGACGTTCTAGCAATGTTTTCCACAGTCCTACACAGGCATTAGGTGAGCAGCATAGCAGGTGTGAAAGGTTAAATTAGCTTAGAAGACAATGCAATATTCTTAGAAACTTGGTCTCAGCAGGAACAAAGAGCTAGCACTTTCTGCCTCCACTGCAGGTGGTAATTCCACTTAAGGCTTGGGGAGAGAGAATCAATATTTATCTGCTCAGGAGGAGAGCCAAGTGCTTGGGGCTGTGGCTGCTCCTGGAAGCCCTGCACTGCTGGATCACAGTGATGCTCACAGGGGCATTTTGGAGCCTGGGTGGCAGCATGGCAGCTTGCACACATCTGCATAGAAAATGCACTCAGATTACAGCTCTTTGCAAAAACCAGATTTTCTGAGGGGGCAGTCAGGATTTCAAGGTAAAATGACCTGTAGCAAAGAGGCACAGGAACAGTGTGTGAAGTTTTTTTCTCCTCTTTACCTGTTTTAATGTAGTCGTGATTCTGACCAGCCACCGCTGGTACCAGGTCCCTGTTGAGCTCTGGATTTCAATAAATTCATCTACTTGCTTTGGAGTTTTGATATAGGAAACCTGGAGGAAAAAAAAGAAGGAAAAAAATTAGACTGCAATTTCTAGAATTGATCTTTGGTGGATTTAAATTCTACTGTTTTCTGGGCAATGTTTCCACCAAATAACCCCTATTTTTTTTCCTTGAAAGTTAGCATTAGCAATTGAGCTCATTGATTTAATTACAGCAAGAGAGTATTAACAGAAATAAGCCTTGCTTCCTTCTTTTCATCTATCCCTTCATCCTCTCTCTCTCTCCTCTTCCATGAAATATTTTAAGCACATCCTGTCTACTTTAATCTTTCATTTGCTGGCTAATGTACCTATATACTACCTCATTTCTCTGTCTTCAGATTCCCACTACAAATCAGGACTCAGAAAGTAGAGTAAAAATAATCTACAAGATCAGCCACTTGTACCCAAACTGCATCCTCAGGATTTCATTCTTCTAAGGCAACTAGCAGGAACATTTCTCATTCAACATCTTTTAAATACCACTGACAGAACTTCTATGACAAATGAATGTGTAGATGGGAATCTTTGCAGCTGAAAATGTATCCTGCCATCAAGTGAGCCCACACAATGCAACCAATGAGTTTGCTTCACCAAAATAATCTGAATTTTCACTGCTGAATACAGGAACTGGACTGCTCAGGAAAACTTACAAATGTATACCAGAAAATATTTGCTTAGCAAATTTAATTAAAGGACATATTAAAGGAAAACAGAACTGTTTGTAAACACATGGAGGAGGCGAAAATCTGCTGAATAAATTTCTGAGTGTGAACGAGCGCCTTGGCTCAGCTCTGGAGTCTCCGCATTCCTCTTCCTGGCAGTGATTAAATGTCAGATCTGGGAGCTGTCCCGTTCAGGCTGACTCACCACAAACTGACAGCTTCTGGCCTGTCAGAAAAGCACAAACCCTGGCAGTCTGTGCCACACCAGGAGCAGTGATCAGCCTCCTGTGCCAGGGGTGTCAGCACATCGCGGCTCAGCTCCTCCACTGCAGTCACGGCTCTGTGGCATGGAGTAACCAGCACTAATGGGGGCTGTACAGCTGCTCCTCCATTCTCCTACTCACCTCAGACTCTCATAGTGCCCTACTTTGTGAGATATATATATATATATATATATATATATATATTTATATATATTTATATTTGAGATTCATTTCCCAGCTCGGCGTTACAGCAAAGCCGGTGATGGATTTGAAGAAAACCACTTCTCACCTCTGCTATCAGGGCTTGCATTACTCAAATGGTTGGTAGCCTAAAAATAACACATGCTCATTAAGATCCCACATGAACCTGCTTGCAGTTGTCATGCTCAGATAGGAAATTTTATTTTCCTTGAAGGATCACTCCCAAAGGGCACAGTCTCCTGACAACCCTTCTGAACATGAGCGTTGCTTTCCTTCTTGATCAAAAATACATGTTTCACACACAAGTGTATCTCCTTTTTTCCATCCTTTAAAAGCATCTGTGCTCTCATCTTTAAAAGAATAAATCAAGAGTTCTTCCCTGGCTGGCTCACCAGGATTTCAACACTGAATTATAGTAATTTGCAGCTAACCCCAGCATAAACCTTTCCTCTGATTTTACTGTTAACCACTCTGCTGGTGTGACCTTTTTCACAACAAGCAGCAGACCAATGAGTAATAGCCACTCATCCCACTTTCCCTTGGAGAGATTAAAGACTGGATATGAGGCAGGTGGAGTTTGGAAAGCTTATTAGAAAGTACGTGAAGTTTAATCAGACTTTGATTAGAAGCCAGAATGGAGAAAGGAGTGACTCAGGTCTCCCACATGGCTAATATGTCTCTTATTTTGTTTTAGTCTCTTAGAGCAAGCTAATTAAACACGTGCATAATTGAGAAATCACTGGTTTAAAGGATGTAGAATAACACCAGGAATGAAGAGTACTTGCTGCAATTGACATATTTGTCTAATTCTTGGAAAAACAGACTGACATCTAAGATTAAACCCACAAAATGTTTCTCAGAATCCATTTTGTGGTTGCTGGGGGAGAGATTACATTGAAAGAGTCCTGAGGAGAAATAAAGTCATGCTGTGCTGCTCTAAGGAGGGTCTGTCCAGCTTTTCTTAAGCAATGGCTTTGCTCAACTCACCGTAAACACCCTCTCTGGCTCGCCCTTGGCCCGCATGTTGGTGTCATGGACTTGCTTGAGAATCATCCAAGCTTCATCGTGTTTACCAATCTGAAAACACCAAAGAGAAGGAAAGCAAGTGTTAAAACTCCCAGCTCTGTAATTTGTCAAAGCACAGAGAGAAAGCAATTCTAGTGGTCCAGCATAGCAGAGAGGCACACAGACAGCCTGGGCTGCGTGAAACCCCAAGAGCTGAAGGCATGGCGGGTATTCACAGAGTGCAGCATCTCTGTGCTGGAGAAAGGAATTGTCCTAAAACTGCCTGAGTCAGAAAAAGGGTCAGGGAGAGAGCTTTAAAAACATATAGAAGAGGAGATGGATGAAGAGAACAGGACTCTCATCCCAACTCTGCTAAAGACTTGCAGGCTTGAACTATGTATTGATACATATCCCATCTGTGGAGATACAGAAACTTGCTTAAGATTTCTGAGCTTTAAGTATTTGACTCAGTAAAATGTGCTTTAACCCTTTGCTCTACCACCAGGATTCAGCAGTTTCATGCCCAAACTCTGTGAGATGTTTTCAAAGTGCCTTTGTTGGACAGATAAAATTCCCATCTCTCACTACCTTCCTTCTGTAACCCCATCTGACACACTGATCATCAGTGACTGACCCCACAGCCTGCAACCTTTGGGGTTCAGGCAGTCTGTGGAGCTGGGGTAGACACACAGGAGTGGCTTTGCCTCTGAGCTTGTGCTCTGTGTGTTTGATGGGACAAAGACAGACAGACGGTGGCACGTTAGGGACCTGCCATCCTCTGCAGGTATCAGAGATGAATCACCTTACCTCCAGCAAAAACCGTGGGCTTTCAGGCATGAATTTCAGCGCCACCAGGGAGGCGATGCAGGGCAGGGCACACACCAGCACAAAGACTCTCCAGCTGTGGAAGTGGTACTTGGTTCCCATACTGAACCCCCAGCCTGGAAACAGCAAGAGCCAACAAGTGAAAACACTGACCAGGAGCTCTGAGTTTTCCTCTGCTCAGAACTTTGCAGCTCTGTATGACATGAGGACAGGTTGAAAGTTTGCTATTCTTAGTGCTGGTGGCTCTTGGAGGCTCTACAGCGTGTTCAGTGGATTGCAGCAAGTTCATGCTCATTACAGAAATTGGAGCATGCTCAGGCTCTGCCTTTAAAAAACCCTCTTTTATCTTTCAGTTTAGAAATCACCCAGTGATAGGAACAGCTCAGAGCAGCTGTAGGCAAGGAAGGCTGGAAAATGGCACAGGAATAAGGGCCATAATTGATTGCTTCTCAGTGATGTTAGTGAAGATTTACAAAGGTTAAATCTCTGATCTGAGAGGCACTTTACAGACAACTTCTTTCCATCTCCTGCATCACATATGTATTTCACATTTCATGGAAGTGAGCAAGAAAAGCAAGCTTATTTTTTTTCCAGACCTACAAAAACCTGAGCTGGGGTTTAAACTTAAAAACATCAAAATCCTAATCCTGCATTTGAGATACCCCTTCTCCTGATTTTTTCCTGGTTTTTGACCAAGTTAGGTGTTCCCCTGCTAAGAACTGGAAAGTACAGCCTCATTCTCTTACATTGCTCCATTCACTCTCCCTAGGCTCAAATCTCATAAGGAGTGTTAAAATAATTTTTTTTTCCTATAAAAATTTTATTCACATAATAAGGAAGTCATCAAGCAATGGGTTTTGCAGATGCCTCATCTTAGCCAGTCATGGTGTTCTAATGATTTCACAAAGTTCCAAAAGAGTAGGTGGAACAGTGGAAATCAAAAAAGAAGCTACAAAAACACAATATCAAAAAGTCATCTGAAAAATAATTGTAATGTAAATATCTAAGGGCTTTTAAAAGCAATGTTGTTGCAGGTAATAGAATTATTTCTATCTGAAACCACTACAGTAAGTTTACCTATTTCTTCCAACAGTCTCTGTCTCATCAATCAAAAGCATGAATATTTCTTTATACTGAATGTGCTTTAAATGTGCTAAAAATGAAATGATGGATAGGTAAATGTTAGTGGTTTCCTTTGTGGGTTTTGTGAACTGTCCTACTTTCCTCAAACAGGATTTTGCAAACAGCTGGTGTCACTGAATACTGGGGGAATTAATCTTTTCCAGTAGATATTTGCTTCTGGTGTTTCCCTAAGTTATATACACAAGTTACAAGGAATTCCATGCTACATGCAGACTTTTGCTTCTCAGAGCACAGGTAAATTTCAGTTTACAGCCGTCTACTTTTTCATTCCCACTTCCAGCTGAGGGCAGGGAACCCATTCCTCTCCTGCATCCATTTAGGTGAAGTCAGAAGTGACTTCAACCCATCTCATGCTGGGCAGATGTGTCACAGGTACACAGCCCTGACAGTGTGGACACTTGGCTAAGGGAAAGCACATGTGCTGTGCTCATTGCTGTCATCCACAGCATCCAATATTTCCCTGATTAAAGTTGCTTATTTTTGATAACTGGATCAATATTTGCTGTATAATCTCAGTCTATATTTTTCCCCGAATGAGCTGACATTCAGATGAAGAGCTCAGGCTCCAGCAGTGTAATTCAAGGGATGTATTTGAGACTTTAGATGGAAAGCAACCCCATTCAGTCCTATCTACAGCCTCAATATCCATCAGTCAATCATGCAGTCAATCTATGAGACCTTCTGTGAGCACTTCAGGTATCTATTATTTTCAGTGCTATTTATGCTGGGATGTGTAAGAACTGTCACTACCTGTGCAAGGGTTTGGGGTGGTGTAGGGGTGCAGGAATGTGGTGGTGTAGAAATTCAAAAGCACAAATTACCATAATGTGGGATGATGCTCCAAGCCATTGCTGAAGCATAAATGCCACCAATCATCCAGAACATGCAAAGCCAGCTCAGGTGTTCCCCCCTCTTCTCACGAGACAGGAATTCAGAGAAATAGGCAAACACGATGGGGAGGGTGCCCCCAATACTGAGGAGAAAAAACAGCATATAAGAAAAATGAGAGTCAGCTTCAATGTGTTTGTGGTTAGGATTGCATGTTTAATGAGGGAAGGTCACACTCACAGATGGGCTGCTCAGAAGTGAGACTTCTGAGGAAAAATGCAAATCTCTCTTTGACTGGACTGGTCTTAGATGTCAAAAATGAACAAGATCCTTCTCATGCTCTAAAAGCTGAATTTTCTGTAGTTTGTACAAACCCAGAGTAATACCCTGCTCTTTGCTTAAACATCTCCTCTTGTTATTTCATGATCATTCATTTTAGGGAGGAAAAATACTGGCAGCCAATGGAAACTGCTGAGGATCTCAATGGAGGCCTTGGAGGTGGGCATTTTTCAACCTCACCCATATTTCTGCACAATTTGGGTAGTACCAGAAGAACATCAATGACCAAACTTTCCCACCATTGCAGCTCTAATGGTCAGGAGTGAGATAACACAGCCACACATCCTAAATGGCAATTCCATCCTGGCTGGGCACCAAGGATCATCCTGAGCACCTTTCCTTGTCCCACCCCACACAGCCACACTGCCCAGCTGTGCTGGGGCTGCCCCAGGCCAGGTTCACCAGGTACCCACCCGAGGCCTGAGATAAGGCGGCAGAAGAGGAAGAATCCGTATCCCTGGACGAAGGAGGAGAGGAACGCAAAGGCAGCATTGATTGCAAGTGATATGATGAGGCATTGCTTCCTTCCCAGTTTGTCAGCGAGGCCGCCCAGCAAGACAGCTCCCACCATCATTCCTAAGTAGACTATCAAGCCTGGAAGGGAGAGAGACAATCAGCTTGTTAACAGGGTGGGAATATTACACAGGGTAGAAGCAAATTTGAAAGCGCCCATGTGGCAGCTAATGTTGTCCTGGCATACTGTGCAATAGAGATACTCCTAACCACCTCAAATCTCAGAAACTCTGCCCAAATTTTCCCATCTCGTGCCTGAGAGCTTGCATCACTTGAGGCAATGTGGACATACCCTCATTTGAGCAGCCCCACATCTTTCCTTCCCAACCTCGCCGCTCACATTTCCCCCGCACGTAAGCAATGGCCAGGCATAAGCAGCTTAGGACGCACGTGTCCCAGCTATGTGCCACCAACAATACAACAGAAGTCTGATGTCTTAACTCCTCTGACCCCCCTGAGTGCAGTGGGATGGAGGATGTGTAGGGAGAGGCTCTGCCAGGCTGCTGTTTATGCTTGGAAAGCTGTGAGAGCAGAGGGGCTGATGAAGCAGGGCTAAATCTCTTTGCAGTGCTTCATCTCTTTCACTCTCTGCTTTTCCCAGCTGTGTCTGAAAGGATCAGTCTGTTACCCAGACTCACCTCGTGTAGCTCAGCTACTTCCCTCGTTACTGAGCCAAGATCTGGTGTCTAACTAAAGGACAGCTTACTCAAGAGTGCAGTCTTGATCTGAAAATTTCAGGAGAAGGGAGAATCTAGGGCTCGTCTGGACAGTTTGCTCTATAGAGTTATCTCTCTAACATTGTTAAGAAAGAGGGATTCTTCTTTTTAACCTGACTTCACTAGATTTCTGCTATGAAGTCCTCAAAGACAGTCTCAATTATTCATTTAGTGCCAGGCTGAATAGGAGAGAATGGGTTTCCACCTTGGGTAGTCTCCCTGTACCCTGCTCAGTTTGTGCTTGCCCCTTGCCTGGAGAACATGGCAGCTGTCCTTTGCTCCTCTACTGCCACTGCTGCAGAAGATCCACAGATTTTTTTTGCCTTTTTTTTTTTATGCAGGTACCAGTGTAAATAACACTAGTTCATAATGCTCAAATGTTCAGAAATATATTTTTCATTTATTTTATCTACTTTCCACATGTAGTTCAGAAGAAATTGGTTGCAACCACAGCTTTTCCTGGGGGGCACAGAGGTACAAGAGGCTGCTCCCTCCTGCAGCATATCAAACCCCATTGACAGGATTGTGGCCTGTGTCTATAGGCTGCACAGTCCTGCTGTGGAGATCCTGGTGGGGCCTGACCACCACTGGATGTGATCCAGATGGGCTGAGCTATTTCAGGATGAAGAACATCTTCTTGCTGGGAAGCAGAACTTTCTGCTTTCCCTGCAGTGCAGGGAGTTCTTGAAGGAAAGGGATGATGCTTGAGGATGTTTGGAGACTGGGGACATGTCAGGTTCAAGAGCCAGCTGAGCTCCCTGCATCCCTGGCCTCAAGTGAAGGCATTGGATGCTAAGCAAGTAAATACACTGCCTTAATAGGAAACATTCCTATTCATTGATTGAGGAAATACAGCTAGAAGAAACATTTTTCAGGCATGGTTGACTCTTTGGAGGTTCTTTCCTCACCTTGAACCAAGCTTGGCTTCTCTTGAGAGCCAATGCCTCCCCCAGATCCAGTTCTATCAAATACACTTGGAAAACAAGGTGGCAATGAATGTGTTTGTAATTTATTAATGTTTAAACAAAACAATCAGTCTGGTGGCTGAAGGCAGCTCTGTGCCATCCAGCAAAGCCAGCTAAGGGCTAATGCAGAGTTATCTGGCAGCTGATCCTGTCTTCCTTTTGATTGCAAATGCCTGCACTTGATTTAAAATGCATTACAAAATTAAAAGCTATGCAGCAGAGACCCATTGCAGCATTTGAAGGACACTTGCATCACATTGATCAGATGGGGAAAAGTTTGGATTTCTTAAATCTCTCTATTTCACAGTGGGGTCACCTATCTGTGAGTGATTCTTTCCAATCCACATGATGTCTGAGGGGCAGGATTTGTGTGTCAAAGGCAAAAAATCTGTTCTTGTATATTAAAAGCCTTTGTACCAGAACTGTGGAGCTGGATTTGGCCAATTGTACCTCCACCATGAGCACATGGCTCTGTGCAGCCAATCCTTGCACTCCCTGCCCTACCTTCCTGATCCAAGCTGTCCTGGTGAGGAGATCTGAGGGTGTGTAAAGGTTTCAGGTACTGACCTAAAGAGAAGATACAAACACATCTCACAGTCCGGGATCTCTATTTCTATTAACTTTGACCTCCAGCAGGTTCACTGAAGTGCAAATTGCAAGGGTGAGCCAAAGCAAAAACAGTTTCAGTCCAAAAACTTCCTGAAGGAAGGATCTTAATGCAGTGCTGGGTGGCTTAATGCTTTTACCCTGGCTCCTGAGCCACATTTAATGGAGCAACTCTGATGGCAGCCAGAGGAAGGAAGTGATGACAAGCCCTGTATCTACTCACTGGTGCATCACAGCCACCCATCTGACAGTGAGCCCTGCCAGCACTGCCAGACCCTGGGGAGGAAGAAAAAATGATCTGCCAAACTTTTTTTTTTCTTTTTTCCTTTTTTATTTTGTTCCGGAGAAAATCCCTGGATGGCAGATGTTCATCCAAATCCTCTTAGTAATGGAAAATGTCCCGGGTCAGGAGGAGGTGGAGGAGATTGTCTTCTAGCTGGTGTTTCACTGCAGTCACTGGTGAGGGGCAGCCTGTTGTCTGGCCTGAAGAGTGGGCTCAGTGTGGGATGTGGCAGTGCTTGAGACTCAACATCAAGAAGTGGAGATGCTTTTGTAAGCAAACCCCTCAGATTCTGACTAAGGAGCCCAAACTTGGGATGGAAAGGAAGATTGGATCTCTGCAACACAGCATCCATCACACAGTGAGCAGACAAACCACAGCAGAGCTGTTAATGTCACAAACTCATCTAGAGGGTGTTGCTTTAATCAGTTATTGTGTATGATAAATCAATTGACGCATGGTCCCTCAGAAATTTAAAACAATAAAAATCTGTAGTAAAGAAAATATCAGGGACAACCAGAGACTGTCTACTTGGCCAGGTTTTGAGGGAAGGATCCTGGTTATGGAAATATGTGCTTCAGGGTTGAAACAAAATCAACAGAACACTTCCTTATGATGGAGAGGTCTTTTTTTGGTGAAGACTGCATGTTCTGGCCAATGTAATTAAAATTTTGGGGTAGCTGCTATAGAACACTCTGTCAGCTGATGGATCTCGGGACCCAGGGTGCAGAACATGGTCTGCCTTGCAGATTGCTGGGCCCTGGATTGACAACAAGGTGGCAGGGACCCAGGGAGAAGTGGAATATTTACTCAAACAGCCTCTTTGCAGGGAGATAATCTTCCAGAGAAAACAGTGATGGTTGCTACCTCTGAAAAACATCCAGCTCATGTCAAGGAAACTAAAATTTAAATTTTAAAATTTAAAATTTGGACCAAAAAAAAGTGATCACAAAATGGTATTTCTTTTCCTGGGCTAGTTTTGTCCATCAAATATTCTACAGTACAACATTACAATGGTCTGCACCAGAACCTTGACTTCTAAACTTGGCTTCAAACCACACAGACTCAGACTGTGCTAGGAGGGATCAGCTTCCCAATTGACACATAAGGTGCTCAGATGAAATGTTAAGGGCAACTCTGAATAAGCCATTATTTGCAGGCTATTCCACAAGTCCTGGAGCATAAAGAATGCCTGTGGGAAAGTCTGCAACAACTTCCCATAAAAGTGGTGGAAAACCAAAGAGCTGAAATTCTATGAATAAATTTTGGGTTATGACTCATCCATTGCTGAAGTTATAAGGAAAATATGTGACCACTGACTGGGCTTATTCCCACTAGAAAAGGGGTAACATATTTAGCATTTTCACACTAAGAAATTTATTAGCCTTTACTAAAATTGTGTGCTCTATATTAGACGGGAATTTGAAGTCAAAAGCTGAAGTTCTAGGAATAAGGAAGGAATATACTGCAGATACAGTATATGGCTCTGGTTGTACTAAACTGTATTTTTACTGCTTCAATATAGTTAAAAGTAGACTTCTAAGGGTTTCAGAAAAAAAACCCAAAAACTTTCAAGGTTTACCTAAATCTGCATCACAAGCATGAATTTTTCCTATTGTTAGTTAATGGGATTAAAGTCCTTAAAGAAGAGGCACATCTGAAAATAATCCCTTTAAGGACAGAACAAAGACTTGTGGCATAAATATAAAATTTGAGCTTTTTGAGCCAAATAGCTCACTGGGAAGAATTACTTCCAGAGTCCTTGGGTCTGTCAGGGAGGTGAGGAAGCTGCCTGGGCCAGGGTTGTCTCTGGTTTGCATGGAGCCAGCAACCACAGGAATGGGAAAGCTCCTACCTGCCTTCCAACCCCAGGCCAATACCAGTACAGCCCTATGGTAAAAAAAATGAGGCTCTTGAAGAGGGAAAGCATTTGGACAACAGAAAATTATTAGGACCTTGTATATCTTGTAGTTCAAATTGTAATAAAACCAAAATTAAAATACTGTTACTGGTATTAGGGATACACCTCATGGACACAAAGAAAAGTTTGTGGGTCAGGTCTGGACAATCTGGGAGATGGATGTGGCAAGGCAGAGGATCCAATTGTAAGTAATTAAAAGAGAGAAATAAGGTCGTGACCATTGTACCATAGTGATGGGAGGGTCTGACAGAGGATGAGCTGAAGGCTGGTGGTCTTTTTTTCCATTCTTCCTGTAATATTCAATCTACTCTTCCTAGAAGTTTTATTAATGCATTCCACATGAATCAGCTTGACCTTTTAAGTGGAACTCAAAGGAAAGGGTTGTCCCATTGCACTCTCCTTGTTGGTTAATACAAGCAGTGAGACGCCTTCCACAGCCTGCACCTCTAGCACTGATAAAGGACTCTGCCACGGGAAAGGCAGCAGCACCCCATTTTGGGAGATCTGTGTGCGGATTTTGGGCATTTCTGGCCGCTGGGATGGAGGGGGCAGTGCAGCTGGAGCCGGGGTGGGTGGGTGAGCCCGTGGGGCTGTGGCACAGCACGGGTGAGGTGAGGCACAGGCATGGGTGGTGTTTACGCTCAGCTGGCTCCACATCTCCCCATGGGACTTGTCCAGCACCACAGCATTCGTGGCACCATCTGGCTCTCCCCACCCAACCCTTCTGCTAAAGGAAAAGATTTCAGCAGAGGAAGCCAAACAAATCCTTTTCTGTCCAACAAAACCTCCTCATGCTGGAACGCACAAGATGAAATTCCCTCTGTATTTACAGGTGGGGACGCAGCCATCCATCCCCAAATCAGACCTACACAAAATGTGGGGTGTTCTCAAAGCACAAAACCAGAAACACCTTTATTTTTTTCCCTATTGCTCACAGTGATGATGCTCCTTGGGCTAAACATTTTCAACCAAAAGCAAATTTGCAGCCAGGAATCCATGCCTGACATGGACAGGTCTCATCAGGGTGTGTTGGAGGCCCATGGCCATGGAGGAGCAAAAAAGGCAGCAAATAACCATGGCAGAGCAAGGAAGCCATGGCTGGGCTTGTCTGTGCTCAGACAGAGGAAATAAAAAAAAAAATGAAGTGGAGAAAAGCCATCGAGCTCTGCAGAGGGGATTAGGATTTACTGTCATATCAGGTGAATTCAGGGCAATGAGAAGCTGCGACCAGATTTTATCTCAGCTGATAATAAAACATCCTTTTCACACAACTAAAAGCAGGCATGTTGTACACATTCTATTTAACCTGACTCACACAGCCAAGCTTGAGTTGCTACATAAAAGCATAATTACTTATAGGATCTTTTTTACTAGTTTTTTTTTAATCCGGAATTGGGAGGTTAAGAGTCTGTAATATTACATTCTCCTTAAAAAAATTATCAATAAATCATAAAAAGGAGAAAGGAGCCTGAAAAAGCAATTTTATTCTCAGCGTTGGTGTAGCTGTTTTACAGTTATGGGCAAAGCCCTTAAAAATTTCCTTGTCTCAATTTAGTGAACTGTGAAATGATGATAACACAACTGCAGCTCTGGGATCTGGGAGGGCTGATGCTTTAACTGTGCCCTGAGTTTTTTATATGCAGGATGTGCAGAAGTTTAAAACGTTACTATGTCATTATCTTTTATACTTGTGTACTTAGTACCCTTGCAAACATAATATTTAGTCCTCTAAGAAGTGATTTATAGCATGTAAAGATATATATTTATAAGACATTTCTCCAAATAATGATTCCGCATGCTTTTCAGCAAATATAAAAATACAAATTTTATTACTCTTTTGATTATCCTTAGCATATTAAAAAGAAAATGTTTCCAATAGTCTGTATCATACTGAGAAGGAATATTCTGTCTCAGTAAATTTAAGAATTGAATTATTATTTTGACTACTGCTGATGAAAGCTCAGCAAAGCTAATCTCTCAAATAAATATATAAAAATAAAGTTGTTACATGCTACCAAACTTATTCTTAATAACTTATAATATAAGTTGATTAAATCAAACTGTTAAAATATCCATACTGTTGTTTCTTTTTTTTTGTTGGGTTTTATTTTTGTAATACCCCTGAAATCATCTTTAAAATAGCATTTCTCATAAATTAAAAATGCCAAATACGTATTTTGTCCCACTCAGGATATTTAGGGCTAAAATAGCTGTTAATTTGCATCTGATGGTGAGATGTTTATTTTCAGAATGAAATGTAAACGTTTTCTAAGATGTGTCATATCCATTTCACACATTTCATGAAACACCGTGGGCATCTGTTTATTTGCAATTTTTGCATAATTTGGCCATAGTTTGCTTGATATTTTCCCATGACTGCTTTCCAAGGGAGAAAAAATATGCAATATGCAGAGTGTTTAATGCAAAATGTCCTTTTAACAGAAGCTGAACTTCACTAAATTGGTCTTTAGGAGGCATCTGCTTTATCACTTTTATTTCTCCCTTCCTATTTCTGCTGGAGTTTGATTATTCACCTGACTTATTTCCTTGTTTTTTCCCTCCTGGCCTCTCTTGTTATGGCTGAGCCCTTGTGTGTTTAAAAGTTAGCAGCTGCCTGGAAGTGACCTTAACTGCTCCTGGGAAAACCTGGTTGTGTTTCCTTAGCAAAAACTGGGGAGATAATCACTTCCTTGGGAATAAACACGAGCTTATCTGTGGATGTTTATTGGCACATGGGGATAAGGCAGGGGGCAGTAGCTTATGTGTGGATAATATCCCTGCTTCCCTAAAACCTTGGGATAACTTGAGGGAAAGCTGTGCCTGCTCTAATCACCCCTCTGCTCATCCTGGGCAGACACTTCCATGCAAGACTATTAGTGCACATTAGAAATTGAGGTGAAGGCTCTTTGATTGCCACCAAATCGATCTCCAAGTGTAATTGAACCCTGATCAGTGTGCACTGCCATAAACCACCAAGGGAATGGATTCATAGAGGGATATGAGCTTGTTTTGGACACTGAGCTTTGTGGGAGATGGATTTTTTTCTAGCTGCAGGTGGATGGGAGCTGCAGCTATCCTAAGAAAGATTTTAATGATGTTGTTCTTGTCTCCACCAATAGCACTTCCTCAGCCTTCTTCTTGAGAAGCTATCTGCTGTCGTTATGCCCCAGCTGCTGAGAAAAGGGATGAAACCTTCTTGCAGGGGCAGTATATTCCCCTCTCCAAACCCAGATATCTGCACTGATCCCTTTCTATACCCTCCAGCAGCCCCCTACCCACCCCAGGTTCATCACACTCTCTTTTCTTGATGCCCTGGGTACTCATTACTCACATCAGAGCACTGCTGGGCAATGTGAGGCTTTCCAAGCCATGCTTAATTCATTTTCACAAAGCCATCTCACAAACCTCAGACTCAGCAGCAGAGAAATGCCCAGCAGACAAGAAAGGGTGTTTAAAAAATAAACTGGACTGAATGGACTGAATCAGAGACCTGCCCCATGTACACAACCAGTCAATAACAACAGCATGCTGCCATAACCACCCACTCTCCTCCCTGCCCCAAACTAAGATGAACCAGCTTCTATTGTTTTAAGAAAAAAAAAAATTTTTCCCTCCCATAACAAAGTAACGAAATAGTTTGAATACAAGCAGACTGACAGCAGATCCCCCAAACAAACAAGCTGAGGACAGGAGAAATTGTTCTGCAAAATCAGGTTCTCACAGGCTGTGTTTGAAAGTGGGCAGGAAAGGCAGCAAGAAGAGTTCTCTTCCCCTCATTAGCAGTCCCAGATTAGCTCTGGTAGTGCGCAGGAGGCTGGAGCTGGGATTGGATACGGACCCAAATGTCTCCTTGCTTATTCAGAGCTTATCAGAACACCCTGAACTTTCAGCCTGGCAAATACTGAGCTGGAAAAAGCAGAACGCGCTCTCTGGGGAGATTTCGTGTTCGTTTTTACCTGTGGTTGGGCCAGAAATACTTCAAAGATAGATTTCCTTGTGACATTTGAAGTTTTCTCATTCAGGAGCCTGCCAGAGCTTGAGCTATACAGAGGTAGATATTTATGGGGTCAGAGTTTCAGAAAAATCTCAGCTTTCATAGAGTCACCAAAATAAATGACCTGCTTTTCAAAAAAGGTCTCATCACTAAAAAGACACCAAGCCCTGTGTCCCACAGGGAGCTGGTGCATTCAAGAGTCCCTTTGAAATCAGGATCTAATTGTAAGAGATTTGCTTTTAGGTATCTGACCAGAGATATTTAGAGCTAGAAATTTTAATGGGTTTGTGAAGCAAAAAAAAGTTGCTGAATTCTTTAAGGCACAAAAGTCAGTACAGACCTGGCTAACTATAGAAAGAAACATCCCGATCCTCAAGTTCAAAGAAAAAAGGGAGAAACAGAAAAGTGAATATGACCTCAGCACACCAAGAGGAGAGGTTTACATAGGGAAAATTATCTATTGCCTTTGTCACACACAAATGATGTCAATAGAATGAAGTCAATGGCTGGGGTCTAGTCCCAAATCTGCATTTTCCTGGCACCAGGCAGGGCTCCTGGGCCAGCATGTATGACCTAGAGTCCCTGATGATTCCCTGCAATCCCAGTACATGTCCATCAAGACACACTCTCCTCAAGCAGTTATTCCAAGAGTTATTTTATTTCCCTTCCAGATGCTCTGTCCTATTGTGTGGCTGGCTCTCACTACAGACCCTGCTGGATCCTGTCCTGATTCTTGGAGATCTGGGAGGCTTTGCTGGTTTGGCTGATGGAATTTGGCCTGCCTATTGTTCAAGGGGAAAAATAGTTTGTCCAAACCTTTCCACCCAGTCTCAGTCCCAATAAATAGCTAAGCTTTGTATTTTGACCTCAGGGAGATGCCGGTAGTGATGCAAAAGGGATGTTGCCAGTAGCCTCAGCTTTAATCTTCATGCTGCACTTTAATTGCATTCCACAGACCTAAAAAGAAACCTCCATTGACTACATCTGATCCAGGACATATGAGCAAACTGAGAAGTTAGCAGGCAGAAGGAACTGACTGCACAGTTGATTTGCCTGTTGGGACTTTGGCCTGAAGAAAAGGGAAACTTGTGGTTCCTAACAGCTTTGAATTTTGAGTCATTAGATCCACCTTTAACCCTTTAACTTTTCACTTATCTATCCTTGAACACCCCTTGAAGTTTTGCCCTGTGGACCTGCAGACTGTGAGCTGCCTTGCCCAGATCCAGCCCACACTGACCAGACTGGCACTGGGGCCACAGCACATTCTGGTACAATTCTGCTGCTCATCAGCTTGTGAGCCCCTCCTGAGTCAGATCCACCCAGGCATGACTAGGCATGACATACAATACAGGAAGAAAGTCATCAGAAGATCCTGAAATCAGCTGGTCACTGAAAAAGGTGTCCAGCTACTTCTATCTGCATTAGAAGAGCTGTTTGCCAGTGGCACTTACCCAGCATCCCTTTGTTGGAACTGGACAAGCACATATCCTTCTCAGCACTGGGAAGAACAAATCCAACCACAAACACCTCCACCCCATCTGCCATCAGTGCCAACCCTAAAACAAAGAAGAGAGTCCACTGGAAGCGTCCGTGGCCACACTCCTCAATGATGTTCTCGTACTGGTGGGCGAGCTGCTCCTCGTCCTCCATCCTCTCGGCCATGAGGTCAGCACGGTCTCTGTACTCATCATCCACGGCAGGGGCTCGCTTCTTCTGCTTCTCTTTGATGTCATCTGGGTGTGGGATCCCTTGGTACTCCCCCTCATAGACCTCATCATCCTCGTCGTGGCCTTCTGTGACATCACTCTGGGCGTCCTCGTCCTGCGCGGGCTCATCCCCGCCCCGGTAGTAGCCATCGTTGGGTGTGTCATAGCTGCCATCCTGGTACCTGTAGTCATCTGAGACCTGGTTTGTGTTCCTATATCCATCATCCATTCTGAACAGAGAGTTCTAAATGCTGCAGATCACTGTGGAGATATTCTGAAATGGGTGTGGGCTTGTGCAACTCCTGGTGTCGGTTACTTGAACATATCTTCTCTCCGCTCTTTGGAACTGATGGGATGCACAGCTTCCCAGGCTCGGAAGGAGAATTATATATAAAGGTTCTCTTTGACAGAGCCTCACACAGCTTTTGGTAATACTTCACTTTTCAGCTGTCATTTGTGACTTGCTGGCTCCTGTGCCTTGGGTGAGAAAAGCTGCTGTCTGGGCAACAGCGAGGGAAGAACAAATTGCACAGCCAGGGAGCTAGGAGGACTTGACAGGTTTTTCCTGATTCATTGTGGTGCTGAAGGTCATATCCTGAGAAAGAGGAAACAATAGCAATGAGACAGCAGTAAGCTTGCAAGCACACATGCACTGAGTTTAATGCCCAACATTTGGAATACGTGCTTTTCCTTTGAAAAAATATGGCAACACAGGAATGCTTTTGCATCATCAAAACCCAAAGCCTCAGAAAAAACCAGAGCGTTAAAATGTACCAAGTTCAGTGGGAACCCAAAGTAGAATGTAAAGTACCATGTGGTCCCAATTTCTGTCATTCCTGGAAGTCCTGCCTCCCATATGTGGTCCTGCTTTCCATGGAGAGCAGAACAGCACTGGGCTGGGTTGCTGGAACAGAGCTCTAAGGTTGCTAAATATGTTTCCATCCATCTCCTCAGAGTACACTCATCCCTGGTCCCTACAACTGGCTAGCATCATAATGAGACCAAATATGATCTTGGTCTTCTTTTTTCATCCAGATCCCCACATCAATTTCATTTATTGGCTTCTTCTTTTCCCTAGTGTCTCTCCATCTGTATCCCAGATGCACAACTGGCATAAAGAGTCTGCCAAGTCACCAAAAGTCACACCAAGCTCTGTTCTCCCCATATCTAAACATCAACAGGGGATGATTTTCACAGAGAGCAAAAAAACAAAGCTAATACAGAATCACCACTGTCTGCAGGGAAAACCAAGAAAAGTCAAGACACATCTAAACACACACACTCCTTCTGGACACCTGATTTCCATTATTTTGCAGGCAGTTTCCAGCCAGCTGGCTCTGCAGTGTTCCCCTGCCTCACACAGCTGTAGACACAGAGCTTGGAAGGAGGAGCACATGGGGAAGGGAGTGGAGTCACGCCAGAGCAGCCAGCACAGCGTGGGCATGCACAGAACGTGGACTTTGCTTCAAGCTTTGAGCTACTTGCCTAAATAAAGTGCAAATGAGGTTTGGATTGACACGGGCAGGCACAAGCCTGAGGGTGTGTGGGTGTTGTTACCTACACAGTCAGTTGACCTATAGAAGCGCACGCAAACGCACGCACTGTAAATAACAGTGCTATATGCAGCTGAAATGAGTGCAGAGGAGACATTCAGTAGCACTCTCTATAATAAAATGCTCAGAGAGGCATCACTCCTGCTGCAAATGATGTGATTTTCTGGCAGCCCAAATGCTCAGGGTAAGGAAGGAGCCAAGGCCTGACTTCTCCGTATGGATTAATGGCCATGCCTTGCCTGTGCTGCTCATGGAACTGCTCCAAGGAACTTCATAAAAGCTTCCTCTGCCCTTCTGTTTATCTACCTGTTTATCTGTGGACCATAATTACAACACGGCCTCTGCAGAACCTGCCAGAACCTCTTCCTTTTATCTGCTGTTTGTCACTACATTAAATGTGTTTCCTCTTCCCTTCCTTTATGCTGAATCACATTGTACATTTTGCGTCAAGTGAAAAAGGCAACATGGCATTCTTCCAGGGCTCAAAAAGAGTGATCAATAAAGTAATAGGGAAAAAAAAATTCCAAATGCATTCTGATCAGGTTATAATGATCAGGAGTCCACAGTGCAGGGAGGGATAAAGAGAAGTATTTGCATAGGCACCAGAGCTGTTAATGTGCAGGGGAGTTAATACCTCTGACAGCCATCAGAAGCACTTAAGTGAGTTCTGCAGCTCTTGTTTCAGTGCTGGAGTGTTACCTTTATTGGTTAAAAAAGTCCAAAATTACTTTTGAGTCTCAGAACTCTCTCCCAGTCCTGAAGTAACTTTCTTGATTACACAAAGATCTGTGTCATGACTGAACATCGTGTTCTCCAAGGTGGTAAAATATATTTCCACAGAGACATATTTTCTTTTGAAAAGTAAGGGAAGGAGCTTTTATTTAAAGAGAAAAAACAAAAGAACAATATGTGCAAAAGAACATTAGGCCTTGCTTTGGAAGTCTTTGAGAATCATCTGCTGACAGGTCATGCTTCAAAGCAACCTCAAATGTTGGAGCAGGAAGCACAGTGACCTCACTGTGTTGGTCCCTTTCTGGTTGCCACAGAACTGAATTCAAAACTCGTTTTATGAAACAAAGTAACAATAACACTAATGATCAATAGCAGAACTGATCACACTCTGAGCCTCCACAGACCTTATCTCTCTTTTCAGAAGGTAAAAGTATGTTCTTAAGTGCTGGAAATATTTTTGTTCTCATTTAAAAGCTGCTGAGGCTTAAAGCTGAGCTCCTTGCCTCCCACAACAACAGGACCAAAGATCACAAACTCAGAAAAGACCTATTGAAGCATCCATGCTCTTTCACTGACACACAAAATCTGGCATTCACCAGATGGAATCACATCTTGGGCAGCCTAAGAAATAATGACATGAGCTGATGAGTCTCACAGACCAGTGAGAGTCACCTGTGTGGGAAAGAACAAGCAATTCAGAGAAAAGGTCATGGCAGAAAATAGTGACTGGTTTCCCATTCAGTTTGTAGATGGATATTTTCTGGGATCACCCCAGGAGAAGGGGCAGTACAGAGAAGCAGGCTATAACTTCAGAATGCTACACTTTCTATATTTCACACCACTTGTTTTCTTTCTTTGCCACATATGCACAGGCTGATTCACTCCAGACCTGATTCTTTAACACCCTTTCACTCAAGCTGAGCTGCACTCACTCATTAACAGCCCCATTTAGCATTTAGACGCGAAATCATGATGTGTCATAAAGATGGCAGGCTTGGGTTGCTATAATTACCCTTCTCAGTGATGCATGAGGCTTGAGACAAATATACACATCTCCCCAAGCCCATTGTAGCAGGGTGGGTGTCAGCCTCTTCTCCCAGATAACAGCACAACAGGAAACGGCCTCAAGTTGTTCCAGGGAAGTTTCAGACAGGAAATTAGGAAAATTGCATCATTAAAAGGGCTGTCAAGCCTTGGAACACTCTACCCAGGGCAGTGGTAGAGTCACCACCCCTGGAGGTATTTAGCAGAAATGTAGATGTGGCACTTGGGGACATGGTTTAGTGCTTGGCTTGGCGCTGCTGGCTCAGTGGTTTGACTTAATGATCCTGCAGTTCTTTTCCAATCTAAATTATTCTAATTACAACCCTTGGCCCTTCTAAACTGCCAGATCCCTTTGAGAAACACAAATGAGGTTTAAAGACACAACAAATGTCAGGCTCCATAAGGCAGGGTGTGCAGGGACAGGAAGGCAGAGGAAAGAAAAGCCTCATTCTGGGTCTGCCCAAATCAGCCCATTAAACTGAATGTCGGACACAGAAACCTGGGATACATCAGAATTCAGATCCTTTCCTCGTTTCTTTAAAATACACTATGCAGCATGCAGATTTCTTGTAGTCTTTAGCTCTTTAGTTAGCTCAGATGTTGCATACTTAGCCAGGAATTCAGTCATTTGAGCTCTGCAACTTAAAATAGGAACCTGAAGCCTTGGATATCCTCATAATAGAAATGGTATCTAGTCTGGCAAAAGGGATGTTTAAAAAAAGGAGATGAACACCAGCGTTTGCTTCTCTGAGGGGGCATATTGGTAAGTGTGGCGTGCTGAGGGGATAAACTGGGGTGGAAGGCAGCAGAGCTTGGAGGGGATGCAGAGAAGGGGGATTTTCTTGTGCCTGGTACTAAATGAAGAGAGCCCAGGGCTTGTCAGAGAGCTGAGCTCTCTCAGAGGACAAAAATCATGTCAAATTAGTGAACAGGGTAGACATGAGAAGGGTTTTCCATGAAACATTGCACCTTGGGGCATGATGGAGTTTCTGGGAAAGCAAAGAGAGTGAGGATGCTGCTCTGTGGGAGCACAAGCCGTGGGTGCACACACATAAATGCAATATGAATGCACATCCATGGTGAGGATCCAGCAGGGACACAGAGAGCCAAGGCTGGGAGCTGCCTCCCAGGGCCTTTCTGCAGGCTCAGAAAGGGAGAACACTCAAAACCAGGAGGGAGAGGTTATTTGAGCGCTAAGGAGAAGCAGCATGACAGGGACACCATAAAAATGCTTTCAAGGGATTTTTAGCATTCACCAGAATAATCCCTGTAAAACAGATGGCAGAGCAGTTCAATATTCTGCCTGAAGGACGACTCCTCCTGCAGAACATCCTCACCCCCAGAGCTGCTTTCTGCTGACAGCAATGGGAAGGTGCCCAGATCCTACAGTGACCATAAGGACATTCTGCAGTCACAGAGCTGACTGTAAAAAAATTCCTGAGAAGAAATTTTCCTCACTGAAAGGAGAAGGATGATCATGTAGATAGATTTCTGTGAAGTTCCAATCTCAGATTCTTAGGTTGCAATTAATGGATCTGCTTGTACACGTGAAGGGACAGATTTTTGAGGTGCCTAAGAAATCACAGCTCCCAGGGAAGCAGCACCCTGGATTTCAGCAGTGATAGCAAAATTATCAGACAGGCTGAGCACTGTGGCAATGAGTGATCACTGAGCTGCTGGATTAGGTGCTGCAGGTTGAGCATCCTTTGCTTCTTGGCATCTCTGTGTCCCTCCAGACCTCAGTCCCTCCAGAAACGTTCACTGAAACTCATTTTTTGGGGACAGAAGTTGCCCATATATGAATATATGAATATATTAATATATTAATATATTCATATATGGGCAACTTGTGTCCCCAAAACCTTAAACCTTAAATACACCAGAATTTGGGGGAAAGAGGTCTCTGTGCTCCCAGCTTCACAGTCAAGAAAAGTGCTCCCAGGTCTTTGTCTGGTTTTCAATGAAGACTTGCAGTTCGGCATTTTAATTTTTTTAAAACTAAGAAAAATGCTATTTTACCTCAAGGTAACTTTGAAAATTCCCCTCTTTCCAGCTAGCATAAATAATAATATTAATAAATTTTTAAGTCTAAAATATTAGACTGCAACCCTATAATTCACAACAAAAATGCTTTCAGATCAGGTGCATTATAAATTCTTCATCTTACACTGTAGAAAGTTGCCCTTTTTGTTGGCATTAAAAAAAAAAAAAAAAGAGGTGCATGGAGACTTGTTTCAAACTGAAAAAAATATTTCATTTAAGAAAT